GCCCCAAACCTCCCTTCCTTCCCCTCCTATTCCTCCTGCCCTCCATCCCTACTCCCTTTCCCCACAGTCCCGCCTTCCTTCAGTTACTGTCTTGGCTACTGGGAAGATCTTTATCTTCGTTTTGGGGAATGTGTTGAGGACCTTCTCCCTGAGTCCCGGTGGGCTTTTGTGCCTGAGGGGCGGAGAAGGGAGCCCTGCCTTGCGGGGCGGGGGTGTGTTGTGGTGTGTTGTGGTGTGGTGTGCTCAGGCCTGGACGATTGGTGTGCAGAATGCAGCTGTGTAGGCAGTGTTTCCTGCAGGCTGGAACAGCAGAAGGGCCTGTGCGTCCACCTCTGGTGTAACTACGGGTGGGGCATGGACCCATGGCGGTGCATGGGTGCCTGTGTGCCTGTGGGCAAGCAGGTAAGGGTACAACAGCCACCTGGGCTGCTTCTGGTTTGGGGCAGCTGCGTCTGGAGGCTTACCTTCTCCACTCAAGGTGCTTCCTGGGAAGTGTGGGCAAACCCTTAGTGGAGGAAGCGCTGGGGCTTCCCTCTGGTTAGCAGAGCTGGGTTCTTGGGGCCACTAAGCCAGAGTTACCTTAGAACCCTTTCCTGGCACAGCTTTGTTCCTGGGCATCTTGTTCTTAAAGGACCCTCTCTGTGACAGGCAGGTTTTGTCCCCTCCAAACACTCCCTCTCAGGAGAGTTCCCTGTTGCATTGCCCAACTTTGGCCATGAGTCTTTTTGTCAGGACTTTTGCTGCTGGGTTGAATCAGACCACCTGCTGAAGGTTGCCACGCTCTTGACTCTGCAATGAGGGATTTGTGATGTGTGTTAACTCTACCTGGTGCCTGGGTGCTAAGGTCCATATTTAAGAATTGTTCATTTGCCCCTCCTGATCACATGAGTTTGCCTTTCCTGCTTTGGTTCCGCTGGAAGCAGAAGTCACCACCCCGCTTAAGATGGCAGGAGTAGGATCTGAAATGGGCCTGCCTTGGTTGTTCCCCTTGGCAAACATCCAAAGGTCACTGTTCCTGTGCTGGGGCAACATAGCAAGAGGTAGAACCTTGGACCAAGAGACCTAGTGGTCTCTTCAGTTGGCTCAGTTTGGAAATTTCTGCAGAACTGGGAACTTTTACTCAAAATGACAGTGCTTGATTGCTGCATGCGAGGCTGGTTGCTCCTCCATGTACTGATTAGCAGAACAGTGGCAACAGGACAGTCCTGTATTGGCCACAGGCACTGGCCACTTCACAACTTTGATTGTCATCAACTGGGGCAGGAGAGAGAATATTAAGGTGTCGTCCTAAGAACGCCAGGGAGCCTTGGATACTTCTATGTTCCTGTCCTTTATTCTGTGCTAAAACATCTTCCCAGGCGCTCTTTAGGGTAAAACCAGAGCCTTTCCCATGGTTTTTAAGGCAGCTGGGCATTTAGAATGCAGACTCCAAACTTGTGTGTATATCTGTGCTTGTGTGCCCACATGGGCATGCATATCCTCCACAGTTAAGGTTTGAAATAGACTGGAAAATTTAGTGTGGTGATGAAGACACGGGGGACACTGGTAGTGGATAGGTCCTACGATCGCATGAAGGTAGGAAATATTGGGAAGTGAGACTAGGGTAATCTGTGGGGGGTCTCAGTGGCTTCCTAAAAGGGCCTTTTGCTGCCCCCATCCCCACCCCCACCCCCACCCTATGATACCTTGAGAAGTAGTCACTCCTGTTGGAATGGTAAAGAAAAGATTATTAACAATTATCATTTGAGACAGTCTGTATGCCATCACATTTAGTCTTCACAAAAACCCTGCAAGGTAGGGATTTACTTCTGTTTTGCAGGTTGAGGAAACTGAAGCTGAAAGAGGTTAGGTGTCTACCTGAAGGCATGCACACAAGAAGGAGAAGAGCCAGGGCTGGAAGTAGACTTGTTGGTCTGCTCAGCCATGGCTCCAGTGCATATGTGGTCAGATCTCATCACTCCCTACAAGGCACCTTTTCTTTGAGATAGGGGGTGTGGGAAACCTCCTTTCCCCAGAGGTAGCCTGCATTATTTCCCTCAGAGCCCGTCCTTCTTTTAGGGGTGGGAAGGCCAGGTTTTAGGAGGAATACGCTGTCGGGGTTTAGCTGTGGGTTCTCGGACATTGCTGACCTGCTCCACATATCCGTTTTGTTATGTGGCACTTGTGGAAGTGGGATGAGGAAAGGAATCAACACATACAGAGCACTCCCCCACCCCCATGGGGTCTTTGTTGTTATTGCTCTCTGAGTCACAGCTAGCCCTGGGCACTGGGTAGCTACCTGGTGAGGCAGGCACAAGGGAATCCTTGTCACTGATGGCTTCTGACTCGTTCCTGGTAGGGTCTCATGGCACCCCAGCTTCATTCCACCTGGCTCGTCAGGTGGGCCAGGGCCCGGCTTGGTTCTTTATGGCCTTGCTCCGTAGGAGGGTCCAGGGAAGGTGAAACTCAGTCAGAGGCTGTGTAGGCTGTCCAGATGGGGCCTCCTTGGTGTTCTTGGATGTACAGCTGGGTGGTTGTCTGCCTGCTAGGGGCTGTTAGTGTCCACAGCCTTCCTGGCCAGTAGGCTCACCTCCTGCCCTCCTTGCTCTTGGGCAAGTCACTAAACCTCTGAGTTTTGTCCTTCTCATCTGTAGAGTGGGAATGATGATGTATCTCATGAAGTTGTTCTGACAAATCAATGAGACAGTGCTGGAAAGAATGTGGCACATCTGGCACACGGTGGGTGATTTGGTGCTGGGAACTATCATCATCATCATCATTATCATCATCATAGTTATTGGCTTTGTTGCCCTTCTCTGCTTATGTGTCCATCATTCACACTCAAAGCAGGGCCTGGGTCATGGTCTCTCTTGGCTGTTTATCATTTTCACGATCCTTCCAGGAATCAGTCTGGTGTTGGCCCCAAGGAGCAGCCAGGATGGGACACTCTTGCCCAGGCTAGGGCAGGGTCTGGAACTGCTCAGTCTAGTATGGTAGTCATTAATCACATGTGGCCAGTACCTACTGTATTGAGTAGTGCAAGGTAGATTCTTTCATCATCATAGGAACTTGTGCTGAGCTGGACTCCACAGCAAGCCTTAAGCTCTCAGGGCACTGCAGCTTCAGAAACATCCTCACTGTTTGCTTAAACAGCCAACGGCCATTTGCTGAGTGGTGATAGCAAGAAATTTGTAATTATACAGAAACTGAGTTCCTGAGGGCCCTTCCCACATTCCCTTTCAGGTGGCCTTGCTCACCTGGCCAGGGTGGTTAGTTTTTCAGCAGTTCTTATCAGCCCAGGGGTGGGAGGGTGGGACTGGGATTGCCCAAACTGTACCTGTTGCTTGCTATCCCTGTCCTGTTTCTCCAGCCCATCCTGCCAAGCAGGGAGTCCCAGAGTGATGTTCCTAATTCACAGCTTTGTTAAGGGCTAGGTTGGCCCAGATGCCCTGACCCCACCTCTTCTGGTGCCTGGGTGCTACGGAGCCTGGCGCCAGGACCAAGGATGTGTGGACCATGACCTCAGCCCTAGCCTGCTGCTGCTCCCCCTTGGGTGCTTTGAACACACGCCTCCTACCTTCTGCTCACGCTATTGCTTGTCCCCAGCACCCTTTGCCTCCTCTTTCTCCAGGCCCAACTTACACAGCTGGGTCCCCAGGAATCCTTTTCTGATCCATCACACAAAATGTGTTCTTGCCTTAGAAGTGCCTTCCCACACACTAGTTTTTGGTGCTCAGCCCTTTTCTTTGTGGTTGACTCTTATATTTGCTCCTTCTCTCGGTCAGGCATACAGCAGGCATTCTCTGAGTTTCAGCTGTATGTCAGGTAAGTACTCGGTGCTAGACAGACAGGACAACAGGCCCCAGGCCTGCTCTGACAGCTTCAGTCTGGTTAGAGGCCCATGGTTGGCCAGATTCTTCCATCCAGGCCAAATAGTGCTCAGCCAGACATGTGCCAGCCCAGCTCAGGAAAGCTTCCCCGGGAGGAGATGCTGAGGCTGAAGGGGCCAGTGCTGACATGAGGCTACAGATGGGTCAGTGGGCAGGTCTAGAGGGGTCTGTGTGGCTGAAGGAAGGGACAGAAATGGCAGGGAAGGAGGGGGGCAAAGAGGGTGCAGGCATACTTGGCAAGAGGGAATTTAAACTTTATGGAGGGTGTGTCCAATTGGTGGTTTGGGACCCCATCCCCAGGGCATAGCTGAATCTAAATTAGTCAGAGCCTGGCATGCAGGTGTTCAGGAGATGGCTGTGGAATGAAAAAATGCTGAATGAGTTCTGTGTGTACAGGCCTGGTGTGGGGGGCCTCTCCCTATCCTTGGAGCCAGAGGTGGGAGTTGGGAAACTCCTGCCCTTTCACAGACGCTGAGATTGAATTCCAGGGACAGAGAGCTCAGCCAGGCTGGGTCAGAGAAAATGGGGGTAGGCCACGGGAGAACCTGGGCAGGTCTCAGTAAGTCCTGTATCCACTATTTATTAACCCCACAAACCTTCTCTGGACCCCTACTGTGTACCAGGGAGTCCCCAGTCCAGAGCCAGATGGATACTGACAGTTGCAGGGGGAACCAGGCTAGTATTTGTCAGTCAGGCTTTACTGGTTATTAAAATACTGTAATACTTACATGCTGATTGACTAAGAGCTATTGTCTCAAAGCCCCCACCCACAAAGGCCCCAGCACTTGCCTCTTGCCTGACTTCCCCTCCATCCCCACAGTCAAGCAGTAAAGAGTCAACAGCCAGCATGGTAAGTGGTCTCCAGGACCCTATTCTCAGGCTGGGTCTAGTCACTTGGTACTGGTTATTTGATATTTGTAGTGTCATTCTTGTATATAATGTGCAATGACCTTGATTTGAAGTGTCTGGTGTCTTGTCACTGTTTTGCTTATAGCTCTGAGCCATTGGGAGGCTGGGACTGAAGCTCTCCCCACAGTGTGCCTAGCACCTTGTGAGCCCGTAGCAGAGTCCAGCAGAAGTGCTTCCACTCAACTCAACCCTGTTTCCTCCCTCTCTTTCCTGCAGGCAGTCATGAGCTCCAGCCACCCTGAGCCAGGTGCCCGGGCACCCTTGAGCCCCTGCCCACAACCCTTGTCCCGGAGCTCTTCCAGCCTGCTGGGTGAAGGCCGGGGACAGAGGCCAGAGCTCCGAAAAAGTGCCAGCAGCACTGTATGGCAGTCCCAGCCGGGTGAGGCCAGCACCAGTCCCCAGGTCCCGGAGGAAGAGGGGCACCAGGCTAAGAGCACAGAGCAGACACTGGCCTCTAGCCCCAGGCCATGGCCTGGCACTGTGGGCCACCGGCGGAGCAGCACTGTGGGCAATGTATCTACCATGGGCGGTGGTGACCTGTGTCGCCTGCAGGCCCCCAGCACCACTGCTGTGCAGAGAAGCCACTCGGACCTGGTCCGTAGCACCCAGACCCGGGGCCACAGCAGTGCTCGGAAGGCCAGCCTCAGCTGCTCAGCCCTTGGCAGCTCCCCGGTCCACAGGGCTCGGCTGCAGCCTGGCCGTACTTCCAGCCAGGGAGGGCAGGCCCCTGCAGGCTTGAAAAAGGACCTGGCTGCAGAGGACGGGACTTCAGACTCAGCCTGGACACTGGGAGAGAGTAAGGTGTGGCTGTCACCACTCGATCTGGGAGACACAACTACCCACAGCAGCAGCCCCAAGGCTGGCCCCAAAGCCACTGGGCAGTCAGCCACTACCTCCTGCCATGCTCTGCCCCCAGCAGCTCTACTCTGTGGCATGAAGAAGGTGGGAGCCAGCAGGTACTGCCATGCTCTGCCTGCGCCAGGGGTCCTGGCCTTTCCCAAACTAGTAACATCAGTGAGTGAGTCTGGGCTGCAGGCTCAGCACGGGGTGACGTTCCACTGTAGGTTGCCTGGGGAGCTTCCTGGGCATTCCCACTGCTGTGCCCATCCTTGGGGTCCCACTGGGTTAGCTACGGAGCCTGGCGCCAAGACCAAGGATGTGTGGACCATGACCTCAGCCAGTGACTTGGCTCCAGTGTTGATGTCCCCTCTTTCAGCACAGGATGCTGGTGTGCAGGCAGCCCCCATGGCAGAGTGCAAGGCTGTGGCTACCAGCCCGCCCCTGGAAGCCCCTGTGGCCCTGCACACATTCCCAGAGGTAACTCTGGGGTCCAGCCTGGAGGAGGTGCCATCCCCCGTGCAGGATGTGCGATGGGATGCTGAAGGCATGACGTGGGAGGTGTACGGAGCTGCAGTGGACCCTGAAGTGCTGGGCGTGGCCATTCAGAAGCACCTGGAGATGCAGTTTGAGCAGCTGCAGCGGGAACCTGCCAGTGAGGACAGCCTGTCTGCTGAGGGCCGGAGAGGGCCGCTACGAGCTGTCATGCAGTCTCTGCGGCGCCCCAGCTGCTGTGGCTGCTCCAGCACAGCCCCTGAGTGAGGAGCTGTGACCCTGAGAGCTGTCCTGGGCCCATGGACTTAGCCCCCGCCCAGAGACAGTGAGGGCTACTTGTTCTTTGGACTCACTGGCCACTGTGGATACGTCTCTGCTGTCGGCTGCTAGCAGACCACAGGACTTCAGCCTGGGGACCTCTTGCAGCTTGCAGCTGTGCTGGTTTCTAAGGGCTTGATTCTTAAGAGCCACAGTCTGCACATCCGGGCTCTGAACTTCAGGACAAAGTTTCAGCACTGTGCATCAGGGAGGTTCTGATTTCTCTGTAAAAATGATCGCCTTCTGTTCAGCCTCTTCAGAGCTCTGGCATGATTTTCCTTAGGACACTTGGTGGCTTTATTTTAGAGTGGTGCTGAGACATAATGAGTCCTTGACATGAAATGTGGGGCCCCAAGTGACAAGTATCCACTGGGTCTTTAAAGAAGTGAACTGACACTGTTGAAGGCCTCCTGGGTGCCACACACTGTTTGTCACCTTACCTTGTTGAGTCTTCACCTCCCCGTGTTATAGACGAAATCACAGACATTTGGCAGGGCTGTGGCTGACCTGCCTGGGCTGGACAGCTTGAAGTGGAGGGCTAGGTTTCAAAGCAGAGCTGGTGGAGGCCTGAGCTGTTTACCTGCAGCATGCCCAGTCAGTCAGGGAAGGGAAGCTGTGAACAATTTACTGAGGCTACATTCTGTGCCAGTTCTATGGATTCCTTGGGAATTGAGACAGGCTTCCTATGCCCTCACTGAGCTCACATTGTGGGGGCGGGTACACCTCAGTAGTAGGGTGCTCAGCTTTAGAGAAAGTCCACAGGGTGCTTGTAAGAGCCACATCCCTTATAGGTCATTGTGTCGGAGTAGCCACAGGGTCAGAACAGGTGGCCACCTGTCCCCAAATATGTCACGCTGCCTGAAGTTGCATCATTGTCACCTTATTCCTTTGGTCTAGGAATTTATTTTCAGTGGGTACATCTATTCAAAGGAGAGGGCAGGACTCAATGGGAAAAGAGAAGGAGACTGGGGTGGGGTCTCCCACCTGGCGGGAAATGGCAGGGGCTGTGACACTGTGGGGGCCAGGGAGGCCTGTGAGCCAGGGGATTATGGGAGTGGAAGAGTCCAGGACACTAGGGTGCAGCCTGACAATTGTCCAAGGATCAGTCCAGGCCTGTGGAGGATGAGAGTGGGCTTGTGTCCTCATCCTGGGGCTTAGATTTGAAGATCTGAGCTCCTGAGACAATCTGCCATCCTACCCTGTGAGGGAGCCAGAAGGTTAGTGTCCTGCCTAGGGTCACTGGGTGTAGGAGGGTGGAGTCTGTTCACATGCAGCGTTGCCCATGATGTGGCCCTGTTTCTGAGCCCCCTTTTGCACCTGGGAACTCAGGACCTGAAAGCAGGCTTTTTCCCCACCCTCAGGGACCAGGTATTCAACTGAGGTAGAAATGATTCAGGCAACAGTGGGTTAATTTCACTGCTATGGGGCCAAAGGAGCAAGGTGAGAAAGGCATGCTTCAGGTTAGAATGCCTTCTAAGGCCCCTCAGTGGGCTCTGCCCAGAACCAAGCCGTTCATACTTCTAGCTGAGCCTGGTAAAATGCCACGCCTGCTTTAAAATGACAGCAAATCAGAACCACTTCTGCCAGTGGGGTGGGGACAGACGGGTAGGTGTGAACAGCAGGAGGGGACTTGAGCTTGCCCCACTTTTAAAATATGGCCAGGCAGGTTTTTTGTGCACTCATGAGGTTCTGGGCACAGTCTAGCCCAGAGTCTGGGCCTGTCATCCTCTGTGTGGTATAAGGCGGGCACATCACACTCTGGGAAGTGACACATAGGTACTGGGCTGTCTATGCCAAGCCCTGTTCAGGCTCCAAGAGCCCCAGCCTGGAGGGGCCACACTGGAAAGCAAATGGCTGTGGGGACATGAGGGATGAGGAATAGGAGTGGGGAGGCCACCTTCCCACAGGGCCACAGCTAAGCAGGGTCTTGAGGACACGGCAGGTTTGAACAGGTGGGCAGGGGGAGAGGCATGTACCAGGCAGACAACAGCCTGGTCAGGGGCTTGGAGGTGCCTGTCCTGCTTGGACTTGAGTCACTGTAATGCAGGCTATGTTGTGTTTGTTGGGTTGAGAGGCTGGCAAAGGAGGTCCCCACTGTGAGGATCCTGGTGTGAATGAGGAAAGGGACTTAGGGGAGGTGTGGAAGGGGTGGTAGGGCCAGATCTCATTTTAGAAATAGCCCTTTGGCTGCCACTGGATAGATAAGTGTGGAAGGCAAGGGCCCAAGGGAATGGGGATATGGGAACCAAGGAGGGGCCTGTTAGGGACACACACACACACATGCATACACACAGTGTGTGTGGTGGATTCAGGGAGTTCCAGGAGGCTGAGGTTTCCAGTTTGAGCAAAATGAGATGAGTCAACCATCTGTGACAGGTGGGAAGTTCAGGAGGGAAGGTGAAGGGCCACATGCCACGGGGCTTGGTGGGGGCCAGTGAAACCTTTCACAGAGACTTTCTCCTGTGTCATGCAGATTCTCATGAGTTCACTCTGGCCAATCTGTGCCAATCTGTGCCACCTCCAGGCAGAACCTGGCGTGCCAGCAGGGCAGGCTGGACCAGGCCCTGAGTGGGAAAGGGATAGCTGAAGCCACCTACCTGCTTCATCTTGACTGAGATAAATCTTCAGGGTGGTGCCCCCAGAACACCCTCCTCCTTAAGCTTGCTGTCCTGAGACATCAGGGATTGTGCCCATGGCCTCAGTAGCCACGCTAAACAGCCTCAGTCCACTCTGGATCAACTGTAGCTTAATTTCTGAATTTTTCCTGGAGACAGAAACCACCCCTGCCTCCCACTCTTGATCCCTCCCTGGGCAGGCCTGACTGGTGGTTTTCTGGGGTCTCAGGACATGGCCACCAGTTTAATTTACGGATCTCCTTCTCACACTCTGGATTTCTGATCAGACTTTCTGCCCTCTTCAGGCCCTGCTCTGGGAGGTGGTGGCTTTCATTATTTGTACATTTGATTTGGATTTGAAATAAAGTAATGGAGGCCAGAGCTTTGCCTGGGAAAGGTTATTGGTCCTAGCTGGTCCTGTTTGTTTGTTTTGTTTTGTTTTGTTTTTAATTTATTTTTTCAAATAGATTTGTCTCTGCCTACCATCCACCACTTTCCCTTGCCCCCTCCCTCTTTTCCTCCTTCAGCTCTTCCCCTTTGGTTTTGTCCATGAGTCCTTGCTCTATGTTCCTTGACTTTCCGCTTCCCTTCCTTTCCCCGCCCCCCGCCCCCCACCTCCTTCCCTCTTGTTTCTGTTGGTTTCTTCTCCTTTCAGTGTTGCTGGTCTTATTTTCCTTGCATCTTTGTATTGTTGGTTAGGTTCCACTTATAGGTGAGATCATATGGTATTTGTCTTTCACCCCCTGGCTTGTTTCGCTTAGCATAATGCTCTCCAGTTCCATCCACTCTGTGGCGAGGTGTAGTAGTTCTTTTTTCCTTTCTGCTGTGTAGTATTCCATTGTGTATATGTACCATGATTTTTTGATCCAGTCATCTACTGATGGGCATTTAGGTTGCTTCCAACACTTGGCTATTGTAAATTGTGCTGCTATGAACATTGGGGTGCATAGGTTCTTTTGTATTGGCATTTTGGTATTCTTAGGGTATAGTCCCAGCAGGGGAATCACTGGATCAAAAGGCAGTTCCATTTTCAGCTTTTTGAGGAAATTCCACACTGCTTTCCACAGTGGCTGCACCAGTCTGCATTCCCACCAACAGTGGACTAGGGTTCCCTTTTCTCCACAGCCTCGCCAGCACCTGTTGTTTGTGGATCTGTTTATGATGGCCATTCTGACCGGTCTGAGGTGGTACCTCATGGTGGTTTTGATCTGCATTTCTCTGATGGCTAGTGATGCCAAGCATCCTTTCAAATGCCTCTGGGGCCTCTGTATCTCCTCCTTGGAAAAGCGTCTGCCCAGGTCCTTTGCCCATTTTTTGATTGGATTGTTTGTCTTCTTGGAGTGGAGTCGAGTGAGTTTTTTATATATCTTGGAGATCAAACCTCTATCTGATGTATCATTAGCGAATATATTTTCCCATATGGTTGGCTCCCTTTTCATTTTGCTGATGTTTTCTTTTGCCGTGCAGAAGCTCTTATTTTGATGAGGTCCCACTTGTTTATTCTTTCCTTTATGTCCCTTGCTTAAGGAGACATATCAGTGAAAAAATTGCTGCGTGGGATATCTGAGAGTTTCCTGCCAAGTTCTCCTCTAGGACTTTTATGGTGTTGCGACTTATATTTAAGTCTTTTACCCATCTTGAGTTTATTTTTGTGTATAGTGTCAGCTGATGATCCAATTCCAATTTTTTGCATGTAGCCGTCCAGCTCTCCCAACACCATTTGTTGAAGAGGCTATTATTGCTCCATTTTATACTTCTGCCCCCTTTGTCAAATATTAGATGCCCATAAAGACCTGGGCTTATTTCTGGGCTTTCTATTCTGTTCCACTGGTCTATGGGTCTGTTCTTGTGCCAGTACCAGATTGTTTTGAGTATAGCGGCTTTGTAGTAGAGTTTGATGTCCAGTATTGTGATCCCTCCTACTTTGTGTTTCTTTCTCAAAATTGCTGCGGCTATTTCGGGTCGTTTGTGGTTCCATATACATTTTTGAAATGTCTGTTCTATTTCTGTGAAATACGTCATTGGTATCTTAATAGGGATTGCGTTGAATCTATAAATTGCTTTGGGTAGTATGGACATATTATGATATTAATTCTTCCAATCCATGTGCACAATACATGCTTCCATTTATTTGTGTCTTCCTTAATTTCTTTCTTCAATGTTGTATAGTTTTCTGCGTACATGTCTTTTACGTCTTTGGTTAAATTTATGCCTAGGTACTTTATTTTTCTTCTTGCTATATCGAATGGTATTTTTTTTTTCTGATTTCTTCTTCTTTTATTGCATTGCTGGTGTACAAAAATGCCTTTGATTTCTGAATGTTGACTTTGTATC